TGGTCAAATAACTTCTTTAATATATTTTGTTAATATGATAATTATATTTTGCTATTGTTTATATTAAGTTCATTATGTATGACATTATAAAATGCGATTCTTTTAGAATTATACTAGAATTAACCTGTTTTTGCTGTTAATTCCCCATAATTGTAGATTTATCCTTTTTGCTCCTGCATGTAAGTATTTAGTTTAAGGTAAACCGGTGGGTTGCCGTGATGCTTGAAATTTAGTCTTGCCTCGATTGCGCTTGTTTCTAGCTACAATTTCTGGGATATTTCACCTGCTCATTCTTGCATCGTTCCTCTAAGAAACGAACTCATAAATGCATACTAATATCATCATATATCTTTAGATTCAATGAATTTTCTTTATTTTGTAAACAAATTTTGATGGATTGCACTTGAATTACCGTATATTGTTCATCATGAAGTATTACTTTTGGTATATTTAAGATATATTTCATCTACAGAGCCTCGAAACTAGTCTAATCTTAATCTGAATCAGTTATTATCTTCTTGAGATAAATGAAATTGACGATAGCATTGCACCCATGTGGTATTGTTAGAAAACCAATTTCATTTATTAGTGGGCCATCGTAGACCAGCTCGATATCTGGACACCCTATTTATTTGAATTCGGACCCTTTAGCGTTTGCTATCTTTTATGCCCTGTGGATTCAAGCTTTAGTGTTTCACATCAAATCTTTTTAGGCTTTTATATCATCTATGTATTTCAAATAGCTACTATGGCTTTGCACTAAAGTGGAGCTAGTAATTTGTTGTGTGGCCTCCCGAAACTAGTCTAAGCTTAAGCTTAATCAGTTATTATCTTTTTGAGATAAATGAATTCGGCGACAGCATTACATACATGTATTATTGTTAGAAAACCTATTTTATTTATTAGTAGGCCATCGTACACCATCTCGATTTCTGGACACTATTGATTTGAATTCGGACTCTTTCGGGTTCGCTATTTTTTATTCCCTGTGCATTCAAGCTTTAGCGCTTCACATCAAATCTGTTTAGGCTTTTATATCATCTATGTATTTCAGATAGCTAGTATGGACTTGCACTAAAATGTAACTTAAAATGTCGATGATATTCTATTGGTGTTTTTAGACACTGGTAATAATCACTTGAATAAAAGACCTTTTAACCGTATCATCTGTCCAAAAATGAATTATTCATCTCGTTTGTATTGCATTGCTCTTGCTTTGGTGTAATAATCGTTTCCTATGAAAGCCGAAACCGCATTCTGAGGCTAATGTGCTTGTCCCTGACCCATTTATTTATATAACACTTGAATTAGAGCATTCTCTTATAAACACAAACGTATTATGAGGATATTTCTATAGAACAAAACTTATCTTAGAATTCAAACTCGAATTTTTCACTCTGCAAACAGTGGTGTTTTGTTCATAGGCGCCTGAATAATCTAGCTGATGAGATTACAAAGTAACCTACTAATGACTCTTAATCATAAAGTTTACATAATTTGAAATTGAAGTAAATTATTACTTCTTAGATCTAAAAATATGTAAACATATCTAATTTATTTGATTTGGAATTTTTCCTGGACGATACTTACTTTGGAATAGTACTTGAAGTCTTAGGTATGTAAAAATGTTTACATAACCTCCGTTCTTTACTCTACAGAAAACCGGAGCCAAAGAGTGGTCGAAATAGTTTTCTTTTATATGGATCAGTATTAGAACCGCTATCAATTCTACATCGTAGTTTACTCATTTCTTTGTCATCTATCTAACCTTATTTTCACAGACCAACCTATCAGATGTACCTTCAAAGCCTCACGATATCCGTGGTATTACTCACGGCAAGAGCCAGCCACACCATGCAAGTCTGCCAGCCCCACTATCAACAGCTTTAGCACCAAAGGCTCTCGAACCAGCTGAAGGCACAGGCTCACTGCCCACTTCGCCACGAGCTTCAGCAAGACTCTGTTCGGATTACCTCCACTTTAACGGTAAGAGGTCGGACAGGCTTGATAACTCTTATCCTGTGTAGGGAAACGATTCAAACGGTGATGTTATCCTGAGTAATAAGGGTAATTATAGAGGGTTTAATCTAAAATGGGAGTATTAAGAAAATAATATTATATATATAAGTTGTTTGACCTTGTTTTCGCAACTTGGTCATATTGGTAGGAAGACTTAGAGGAACGCACCT